AAGCCAAAATATAAACCTTGAACAAGTTTTGTCTGACATATTTATCTCCTTTCTTTATCCCTTTCTATTTCCCTCATCTCTCATTTTCTTTCTTTGCAGTTGTGTATATGTTTCTTTTCATGGCTACTTTCCATTACTCCTCATCTTGATTTAGACATTTGATTTATGTACTTGGTGGATTAACTTCTGTGCATCTCATGTCAAAATTATTTAGATTGCTCCCCAATTGTTCCACACACAATAAAAAAAAAGAGAGAGAGAGATAGAATCCTATTTAAGGATAGTTTCTTTTTTGTGCAGTGTTGCTGATCAGTGTAGTTGCTCTGTCTTGGTCATCTTGATTTAGACATTGAGCACTTTGGATTAATGCATAGGTAGGTGTGTCTTTTGGTTCATTTTCATTTCTAATTAGGCTTTCTTTTGTTTCTTTGTCAACTGATTTTACTATTTCTTTTGTCACTTAAAGTCTATTCTTTTGGCAAGGTTTGTGTTAGTAGAGTTGCAAGTACAAGTTTTACCAATACTTTGGTTTGCTGCATATATTTCAAAATACAGAAATGAAATCTCCAATTAGGTTAACCAATTCCAATAAATCATTCTTTGTTGAAAGAAGCTTTCTTTTTTTCTTTTTTTTTCTTTTTTAAATTTCTGTTGGGAGTAAGGATTTAATAAAAATCTCTGGTATATCTTCACCACCTATGAGCTAGAAGTCATTTATTTTATATCAATACGTATAAACAAAAAATTATTCTTCTGTGGCCCCCACACATTTTAGGACCTGACGGAGGAAGAGAAGTAATCTAAAAAAATAAAAAAAAATACAATACTTTGCAGTATTGGTTATTGGTAAACATAGATCACCTGACTCCACACGATCTTCAATGATTAATTAAATAAAACAATATAGGTATGGTTAAGTTGAAACAGGATCATATTTTTATATTTTTTCCAGTTGACAACACAAACAAATGCAATAACTGACATCTTGATAAAGTTTACGAAAAAAAAAATCACCTATTTTTATACAGGTACTAAAAATGAAATAATAGTTTTGTTTTTTTAATTTTATATCAAATTAAGTTCGATTGAAAAGTGGACTGTGTGTGTTTTTCATAAGGTCACAGATTTCCAATAAAAGCAGGAAAACAGTTGTGGCAACTGTCAATTATTACAAAAGATGAAATATTGCGCAATAATATTGATGAAACAGTAGTTTTTAAGGTCAACAATACTATGTAATAACACAAAGGAAGAGCTTCAATTTTTCTTTACCGGGCACAAAATTGTGTAAGTAAAGAATACCGCTTATGCGCCAATGGAAATGACTATTTTTAAATAAAATTAATACTGTCAAAGCATTGAAGCAATTTACAATAAATGTTGCTGTTGCTCTGGTGTAGGAAAATTATCTTGTCGCGTTGACACATGTGACTAGAGAGATCAACAATGTGTACACATACGTACACACACAATACTATCATTTCATAGTAAGACTAAATGCCAATAATCAATTTTGCGAAGATGTATTGAAAGAACGGACGGATAGCAGAAGCGCTCATATTTGACATCACATACACACACAATCCAGACACAAACTAGCATTAAAATAGTAGTTGTACATTTCGCCTATTGCAGGTATAATAAAAATCGTAGTATTAGAAAGGCTAACTTTGATGCTCGTCAACATCAACACACAGACTGATTCTCTAAACAAAAGAAATAGTAAATGACTGTGTAGTGTAGTGTAAATGATTTCAATTTCAGATAAAAGTCAAACATTCTTTGAGTTTATTACTAAAAAAAAAAAGAAAAGAAAAAAGACTAGAATTTTATAGAAGAGAAAAGAATTAGTAAAAAAAACTGTAGTATTGAAACACTAGTTGGATAAGAAGATTTTATTAGGAAAAAAAAATTTGTATTTTTCTTTTTTTTTTTTTTTGAAAGCACGCGACCCACAAAAAGATGCAGTCATTTAAAAACTTCCTTAATTCCTAATTGATAATGAATTATGCTTTTTTTTTTCTTTTTCTTTTTTTAATCTGATTATCTTCATGCGTTGACAAAGGTTAAGGGGGAAAGCCTAACGTGAGTTTAATTCAGCAAATCAAAACCATCATAGAACTCTTCTTAATTTGACGTCCAGGGGTCATTCATTCGTGATTATCAGACTGCTTTTATTTTCTCACACTGACAATATCTTTTTTATAAACAAGTAAAAAAACAAAGACAAAATTTATCATTTTCATTTCACTTGTGAAAAAGTTAATGGCTCGACACAAAAAGTTTATATAAATTAATTAAAATTCTTTACTTTTTTCTTATTTTTTTTTCTTTTTCAAATCTTAACATACATTTTTTTTCAAGATGAATGAAAATATTGAAAAAATTGAATAAATACTTAGAAAATTGCTTGAGGTCAACAAACCAACAAATTTTCAACAATTATAATAAAAATTAAAAATGAATTATGATCCAACGTAACCCTGTCAAATTCATTTTTTTTTTTAAGTTCTAGTTTTAATATTTAATTTTGGAAAACAAATGTGAAATTATTTTCCAATTATATCTAAATTGAATGTATGTAATTGATGTTTTTATTAATGTATTTTCTGACTTTAAGATTTTTTTTCTTTTTAAGAGATTATCATTAAGGCGAATACGAAATTTTGAAACAATGATTAAATTTTTAAAGATTTTCATGAGAAGTAGGAAAATTAATGACGGTAGAAATAAAAAAAAATCATTTTTAACTGTTGTTATGTAAACAGAATATATTTATTATTCAGAGGGAACAACGATCACGTGATAGCTGTGCCGAAAACCGCACTGAAGACAAGTCTTCAGAAAATTTTAAAAGTTACTCTACAATTACTCAACTGATTTATAATAAAACTAGGAAAGAAATAAAATAAAACTAATGAAAAAAAATAATGCTATGAAAAAAATCTTTCAATATGAAACGCGATAAAAATTATTTTACAAATCTGGAAGATTAGTAAAAAAAAAAAAAATGTTAAAAAGTAAAAGCCAAACAGGATTAAAAAAAGCATCACGTATTTAATTTTCTGGGTACAAATTATAAAGTAAACATTAAATAATATTTTTTATAAAATTCAGATTCAATGTTTTTTTTTTCTAATCTCCATTTTTTTAAAGAATTGTGTCAAATTACTTTTTTTTCCTAATTCAATGACATTTCAAGCCAGTTCAGACAGATCAAAAGAAATCAATAATTAAAATTCCTTTAAAATTGGTGTAGATAATAAATAATTGGATACAGACATTTGGTCACATAAATTTAATGTAAATACCAAAAGATGTTTTTTAAAAATCCTTTCCTGCAATAATAGCAATAGGAATTTTTCTGACATAAGAGAATCAGTTTGATTTACAGTGTTTACGGATGCCCAACAGTGAAACAAAATTTTATTTTAAATAATTACCTCATGCCACACCTTTTATTTTCTACTTTTCTCTTTCACTATATCCCCCACCAATAAAGTGAATAATTTCCTATAAATTTTAAGTCAATTTAAGAAAAGTAAATCTTTCTTTTCAAAGTATCTTCAAAGTGCGGAATTCAAATATATTTTATAATTAAAAGAAAAAAAAAAAAGATTTATTTTTAAAAGTAAACTTTTTTTACTTTAGTAAACTGTTTCTTTCTAGAAATGTTAGTTTAACTAACATTTATACTTTTTAGAAAGTCGGTGAATTTATTTTTCTTTTATTCCACAACTTAAAAAAATAAAGAAACTTCTATTTATTGTTTGTTTATTTTTTATTTATTTATTTTGGTTGGAGAAGGAGTCGTTTTCGCTCTGCCATCAATTAATCTCTAAATTTTAAGAAGACCTTGTTTTGCACATAAAAATTACAGTGTTTTCCTTTATGACTTTTTCCTAAATAATATTTACAGTTTTTTCAGCACTGAATATTAAAAACAGGGTGGATTTTATTGATTAGTTTGTAGCATTAGGAGTAGTCTCCATTAAAACAAGTTTACTATTTTTACATGTGTATGATTCTGTATTGCAAAGAAACACTAAAAAAATAAGTTAAGGAACAAAAGAATGTTATGATTATGAATTCTTGAAAAAAGTAATTTTCATTTAAAAAAACAAAAATAATTCCAATATAACGCCAGTTTTAACGTAATTAAAAATAAAACCTTTTCATAATTATTCAATATTATAAACAAAAGAATTCTTCAGATAGTTTATCATAAATTTAGAATTTAATTTTATGTTATTAGAGATTTATTTTTTTTATCAAGAGATGCGACGAAACTAACAAACGATAAGCACACACTTTTAATTTAAAAAAAAAGTAGTTTTGTCAAAATCAAATCATTATAGTCCATATAGCCTTCCATAGTAAATTCCCGTACTTTAGTTTCAGCAATTTTGGTACAATTAAAGTTCGCCAGTTCATCTAGATTCACTCAATGTTTATAGATAAGTATGTTAGTACATATTTAATTGAGTCAGTGCATCCAATAAGGACAGAGGTTGTTATTGTCTTTTAAGTAGCAAAATACGAAAATTTGACGAAAAGAGATTTAAAAATAATCGTAAAAATAGAAAGGAATTTTGAAGGGGGATTGATTTATTACATAAAGTCTATTGAAAACCGATCCCCCTTTAGAGCAGAAACGAATTTATTTGAAGAAACTGAAATCATTGTATTCTTTTCTGTACTAAACGGCCAGTTTTTACTTTAATTTTCTGGCATATTTAGAAAGAAGGAACCAAGAAGGAGTGAACATAATTTATAATACAATGCAATAAAACATGAAAAAAGGGTTATTTACTATTTTAGACATTGTTTCAATTGTAAAATACACACACAAGAACCGAGATAGAAAGAGACAACATTGAGTAGAACATCGGAAGGAATTTTCATTTGGTTAACATCCACGAAACAAGCAACTAGGACTTCGGACAGCTAAAGATAAAATAAACACTTATCAAACAAAGAAGAATTTGATTCTTACTTACCAGAAAATACCTATTTTTTTTTCGTGCACTACATGGAAAAAATCCCAGCGACTGTATATCGTTTTGCATCAACCAAGCAGAGTTATGGCGACTTCCGGTACGAAAATCAGTTGATACAAAAATCACCCTGACAATAACGAAAAACGAAATAAAAACTAGATTCTTTCTTTCTCGATATATTAAAATTAAAATGTTAATGAGAAAGTTAATTCATGATAATACACATTATATTTTTTTTTACCTTTGATCATATAGTATTTTAACATTTTTGATTTAATTAGTTAATTCTAAAAATGCAGGAACTGAATAAGGTTAATAACGAACGCTTGTTGATGGGAACTGGAATTGAACCAGTGCTTGCAATAAAAAAAATAAAAAAATGACCAAAAAAAAAAAAGTCCTATTTTTTTAGTGGGAATTTTAATACCGCCGTGTTCGATGTATTGTAAAGCAATATTTAATTTTAAAAGCTTGTTGAAAGGAATAAGTATTTTTTATTTATTTTTTGCTTTGAATGTTCACCTTTTATTTTAATCTTTAGAAACGTCCAATGAAAACAAAACTGAAAAAAAAAAGGAATGTGAAATCTCAATAAGTTTAGACGTTGGGATATTTCAAATATAAATAACGGTTTATTTCTTTAGAGAATAATATCCGAAATGATAGTTGATTATTTATAGAAATAGTATAAATTTTGTATCGGGTTTTCTTACTACTGCAGCTGCTACAACTCATAGCAGTACAACTCAACTCAAGTCATCAATTTGGGTGGGATATTTTTTTTTGTCTTGGTAATAATGTTTCAGTTTATATGATTTATTTATTTGTTTAAACTGTTTCATATTAGAAATGCTATATAATTTATATACTAAGAAACAAAAAGTATTATTATCTAAAATCAGGTCAATACAGTTATTTTGCAATTAAAAATAAATAGCCATGAAAGATCGTCGTCTTGATTTACAAAAATAAAATAAAATAATAATAAAAAACATAATATTTAATATAAAACGCACACGGAACTGTAGACAAAGAAATCATATAGACATGCTTGAGCTTGACATTGGTTGAGGTATTTAAAAACAAGTGCATTATTGAATTGATCAATGATTATTATCAAAAAACCTAATAAAATATTATTCTTTTAAATGCAACGGAACTAACTTCTATGATAATTTATTTCTCCTTATATTATGTTGTAAAAATGATTTCGCCACTGCACATATTTTTGATCTAAAGAAAAGCAAACACTTGAAAGGTTTTTATTCACATTTTTGAAGACAATCACAAAAATGATTAGAAAGGTCGTTTTAAAAGGTCAAGGGAGGCAACTCTGTTATGACAGTTCTTAATCTTGAAATATTAGCATTTCAATACATTATTTCAATAATTGAATTTTTTATTGCTGTTGTAGCAGTATTTACCAAAAGAGACGAAAAAACAAAACAGAATGACATATGTGGTATCAATACTTAGAAAGGAGGTCTACATATTTTTATTTGGTTGCTAAAATTAGAGACCTTGCTTTGTGACTTTTAAATCATATTTCTGACTCCAAGGTTATTCACCAAAAATTTTGTCTGCAATTCTTTCTACTGTTGATTTTCAGAAGATTTCAAGAAATATCCATTATATTCTCTCATAAAGATAAAAAATTTGATTTCACAGCTATAGATAACATTTGTAAATGAGCTGCCATTACTATTATTGCTCTTTTTTGTCTGAGAGAACAGTTTTTTAAATTTCCATCATCATGGCTGATGCTAACCTCCAAGAGAGTAACTTATTGCTCCTTCTCGGGCTAACATTTTCCACTGACATATAGTCGAAAAATTTTATTGAAACAACTGCTAGGTTTGCTGCTAGGAAAGTGGGTTCACTGTGTTATCTTACACATTTATAACTATTTACACTACTTACATTGTTTGCACTACTGTCCTCATCTTTATTGTCATATTCACAACATTTCATCTGTTGTATGCTCTGGCCGTCTTCAGGTGATATATCTTGGAATTTCAAACTGAACCCTTTATTTAGTTGATGTGGGTAGATTGTTCTGTAACAGGGTAGGTAATTTTGGGTGTTGATGTATTACTTTCCACATGGTTATTGTTAAATAAATTAAAATGCATAAACATCCAATGATAACAACAATAAAAAGTTGAGACACATGTTGACATAATAACAAGAATTTGTATTCTTTTTTGTGATATGAATTACAGAATATTGTTATTGTGTGTGTAAAAATGTTCTCAGTGTCTCTTTTGTTTAAAAATCAGTGCTTACTTGGTTTGGTTCTGAGAATTTCATTAGTGAGGATGCGTTTGAAATTTTCTGTTTTTGATCTTCCCAGTGTGCTGGCAGATATGTGTTTCTGTACTGCTACTTATCTACTGACTAATGCTAAGGGTACCCTATTCTACTCTACTCTCTCATGATGGAAGGGTCGTTTTTATAATAATGAGGGTTAGGATGATGAAATATCCTTATTTTTTTATCATCGCTGATGGCAAGGTTATTTTTAGAATGATGAAATATCATCATCATTCTGGGCCAGTATTTACCAACCTTCCCACTAGGCAGAATGTGGTACAAGGCCGATTTTTATGTGGGGTGACCCGAGACTGTAGGCTCGGGTAAAAATTTCTCGTAGACCCCGCATAAACAGGGTTGGGTTTGTCTACCTCCCCAGATGAAACTCTGCCCATAAGCATAGCCTTGTCTGGGTTTCTCTCTGCCCAAAAGCAGTGAGTTTGACAAGTCATTTGCGAACCTGGCAACAAATTGCCTGACTGACAGACTTCAATCATCATTTTGGGCCATAACAGTTCTAATTCTATGTGTCATGCATTTGAATATCTCTGTTTCAGTGAATTCCTCTTGATAACACAACATTCCAAGTTTTTGTTCTTTCTGATCTGGCCAGGTATTAAACTCACAACTTTTTGGGTCAAGTCACTTTTGGATCAAGAACACATAGCCCAGTGGATAAAAGCATTAGTTGATGCAGATTTTTCCCAGGGCTCTATCCATGGACCTATGTTATTTCTAATTTTCATAAATGACATTGCTCATGTCATCAGCTCTCGAAAATCACCATACTGACACATGTTTTTTAATCCTATCTAAGCTTTTGGCTTACATAAGCCATTATCAAAGATGACAATTACATTTCAATATATTAAACAATACACAGACAAAACAGTAATGATAGTCTGTTTTTGTTGCATGAAAGATTTCCAAGCAACGACAAACTTGTGTATATGAGACCAGAAGCGAAAATCACACCACAGCTTGTGATGCCACACATGACCACTCAAGAGTGAAAACGAGAAGTATTAAGTATGGGAATCCGTTGGTATAAAACAATGGCTTCTGTTATCAATTATAGGCATTTAAGAATATTTGTGGAGATTTCATAGTTTATTTTGTTCAGGTTAGATTTCAACTGTTTTATGTATATAGCTTCAAGAATTTTTATCTTTTGTTTATTGTTTTCATGTTTAAGTATAGTTGTGTTTTCAACAAGGATTTTCCAGAATTGTGTATGTGGCCAGGCATGTTGTTTAACATGAGTTTGTTGTTGCTTGGAAATCTTTCATGCAACAAAAACAAACTATCATTATTGTTTTGTCCGTGTATTAATTAATATATTGAAATGTAATTGTCATCTTTGATAATGGCCTATATATATATATATATATATATATATATATATATATATGGGAAAATGTATGACAAAGTTCCACTTTGTCATACATTTTGTTCTTGATATATAAAATCTTTTAGATTGTTACCTGATTCTGTTAACATAGAAAAATACCAAACTATAAAAGAATATATATATATATATATATATATATGATACTGTGGGTTGACTCAAGCCTTGTGAGTGAAATTGGGTAGACAGAACTCTTGTAGGCTATTGATAGCTGTGCTAGCATGAAGCCACTAGTCATTGTGGCCAAGGGCTTAAGTGTGCTGGCCTTGTTCAAATTGTTGATCACGCTAGATAACACACTCTCTCCCAGAAACTGTAACTAAGGTCTACTCAGGATAGTTGCAGTATAAAATACAGGTGGGCTCTGTGGGTGTTGAGCAAACACAAATGTGCCTGAGTGAGCGTCTGCAATAGGGATTGGCTAGCCACCCTAGTAGACGAGTATCCTCGAATACAAGTGGCCAGCTATTATATATATATATATATATATATATATATATATATATATATATACAGGGTGTATCAAAAATACTTTTACAAACTTTAGGAGTGGTTCCTCACACCCAGGCAAGGACAAAAGTCCATATAAACATATGTCCACAAATCCTTCAATTTTGTGTTATTAAGTTTAAAGAAACTTTATGGTAGATGGTGCTGTGTTGCTATAAATACTAGGTTACATTTGTCATTCATGTACATTTGTGGCTCATCTGTCTTCAATGTTTAACATTTGTAGCAGTCAATGGCAGGATATTCATACTGTGAACAGGCAGATATGATTTTTACATCCGCTCGCACAAATGGTAATGGATGTGAGGCTGCACAGCTGTATCAGATTGGTTTTTTAGAATGTAAACAGCTGAGTTATCCAATCTTTGGTGCTGTTTATTGTTGTGTTGCTGAGACAGGATCTATGGCACCACAAACTATGGATCAAAGAAGACCAAGATCCACATGTACACCTGACCATGAAGAACACATTCTACAGGCTGTCAGAGATGATCCAAGTATCAGTACATGTCAAGTGGCCCTAGCATGTCGTACATCTCATAATACCACATGAAGGGTACTTCAAGAACAGCTCCTGTATCCATATCATTTACAACGTGTACAGAGTCTTTCATCCTCTGGTCACTCACCATGGGGAATTTTTACCGATGATTTATTGCACAAAATTGATCCCTTGTTTATCTCTTCAATCTTGTTTATAGATGTGGCAACATTTGGAAGAGATGGAATAGAAAATTTACACAACCAACATTTGTGAGTGGATCGGAATCCCCATGGTACAATACAGACTAGTCACCAGCATCAGTTTATGTTTAATGTGCAGACTGGAATTGTAGGT